TGAGTCTTTCTTTCCTCCTTCCTCCCCCCCCTTCCTTCCTTCCCAGTTTCAGAAAATAGGAGCTGCTAAGCAGACTGGTCCTTTTCCTTCTGCTGATTAACTTTTTAATTTGCTTATTCATATCAAAGGTTACCCAGCACTTTTTTGTCATCTGCCAGATTTGTCTAACCACTCAACTTCATAATAGGAATGATTTCATTATTTCTTATATGCTTAGCATGTCCGTAACTTGGGCCTAATGGCTTTGCTATGTAATCACCAGGTTGGTTGTGCTTGCCAATTACCCTTAATGCACTGAAGCCATCAAATTTAGGCATTCTCAACAGGTCAGTGCTGCATCCCAACATTGCTTATTAGGCTATTGCTATAGGCAGGTCTCTGTTCCCATGGAACCTACAGTCTAACTAGCTGGTTGTGGATAAACAGTGGTGTGTTTTATTTCAGAGTTAATCTGCATGTTCACAATAAGCATGTGTATAGTTCCTTTGGAACCATGACACATAGACTGCCCGTAGACTTCATTTTCTAATAAAATTATTTATATGCCACCTTTTCATCCCTAGAAAAGAATCCCAATATGGTTAAAAATAAATAAATCGAAGTACAGTAAAATCAAACGCAGACTTAAACAGCCACAACTTGACAAAAAGTTCAAACCAAACTAGAAGCTAAGTGAAACCATGATATTTGCTTTTCCTTAGAAATACTGACAGAAGCATTTAAGTTTAGTTGACTTGAATCTCTACAAGGGAGACATGTTTTTATTTGGCCACCTAAGAGCAGCTGTCAGCATTACAACCAATTTAAAAAGCAGATAATGTTCAGTGCAGAGCTACAAGTTATTTAATAGGCTCATTATTTTTGCCATGTAGTGTCAATTATTAACCACAGTAAGAATTCTGGCTTCCTGGAAATTCCAGCTCTCGTGTGTTAAAAACAGACAGATAGGCTTCTGATCTCCACAGCTGCAGAGGAAAATTTACAACAAACATACAGCTGCCAGCATATTGAGGAAGCAAGTTGCTTATTAGAATCTCTCTCTGGGGCCAGAGAGAGAAAACTTCTTGGACTATATTAACAACTCCAGGATTTAACTTGGGGCCAGAAGCTTTGATGTACCAGAGTGGGCTGTCTTGGAATAAAGAGGAAGGTGGGGAGCCCCTAGGGAGGAGGAAGATTGCGCAGTGCAGGAGACATCCCCTGGTGGAATGTGACACAAAAAAAGCAGGACACCGATTCTCAGCCAGAAGAGCAGTTGTAGATCTCAGAACACACCAAGGTGGTAGTGAAAGGTACAATGTACAGAACAATTCTTGCCACCCCCCAGGAAAGGAAGAGATGTATGGTGGTGGCAGGTGACTCCCTACGGAGGGGGACAGAGGCAGCATTGTGTGGATGAATGAGTCATGGTTTCAGTTGTCTCTACACTAATGCACAGTGTATAGGAAACAAGCTAGCAGAACCTGAACTCTTACTACTGAAACTACTGAAATGTGGTGGGATGGGGTGAGACATATGACCCAAATGTAGAAACTGGGGTGTATAGCCTGTTCAAAAGAAAGGAAGGAAGGAAGGAGAAGTAGCATTATATGTAAAGGTTGTGTACACCTGGAGCATGGAAGGCAGATTGAGAGCATTTGGGCAAAAATTGTAGGAGAGGGAAACAAAAGTTAACTTACTGTGGGTGCTAAGTCTGACTGAAGATTTGGATGGGGCTTTCATAGAGCCTATTATCAAACTCTAAAAAGAGAGATGGGACACGGGTGGCGCTGTGGGTTAAACCACAGAGCCTAGGACTTGCCGATCAGAAGGTTGGCGGTTCGAATCCCTGCGACACGGTGAGCTCCCGTTGCTCGGTCCCAGCTCCTGCCAACCTAGCAGTTCGAAAGCACGTCAAAGTGCAAGTAGATAAATAGGTACCACTCTGGCGGGAAGGTAAACGGCGTTTCCGTGCGCTGCTCTGGTTCTCCAGAAGCGGCTGAGTCATGCTGGCCACATGACCCAGAAGCTGTACGCTGGCTCCCTCGGCCAATAAAGCGAGATGAGCGCCGCAACCCCAGAGTTGGCCATGACTGGACCTAATGGTCAGGGGTCTGTTTACCTTTACTTTTAAAAGACAGATATAATACGCATGGAATACTTCAGCTACCCCAATATCTGTTGAAACTCAAACTCTGCCAAGAATGTAAAGTCCAACAAATTCATCCCTTGCCTTGCTGACAATGGAAAAAGCAACAAGGAGGTTATCTCTCTTGGACCTGGTCCTCACCAACAGGGAGGAACTGACTGAGAGAACCCACCACCTCCTTAGGGAGTCTGTTTAGGGCCAGTGCTATCATTATGCCAACTAGGGGCATAGTTTTATAAAGATTAATTTTTGTTATACATTTCTCATGACATTTTACTTTTATTTTATATTTTGAAGGATTTTATCATTTTTGAAGTAATTCATAATTAGATTTTTTACATATCTATGAAATAGACCACAGAGTTGATTGGAGGTTATTACACAACCTCCAATCAACTCTACAGTCGCATTCTCTCTCTCTCTCCCCATAAAATGGGAAATGCACTTAATTTTAAATTTTACAGTCACATCTTAATCTTATTTAGAAAATGCATTCACTTTTATAGTGAGCTATGGCTGATGAAAAGTAACCATCACAATTCACAAAATCATTTGAAATGATTTGTGCGCTAAAATATTTTCTTTTGTTATTTGAGAAAGATAATAAAAGATTATTTTATTACTTGTTCTTGCAATTTAAAATAAATTTAGCAATTTCAAGTTTTGTGCTTTTCATTTTTTCTACAGGAAATCTGGTTTCATAAATGGAAGTTAGCAAATGTTGTGTGTGTGTGTGTGTGTGTGTGTGTGTGTGTGTGTATGCAAGTAGTTAGCCTTGCCTAGTGTGCAAAGTAGCCTGGCACTGCATTCCATGTCTCTACAACTTTTACCGTTAGAAAGCTCTTCTTAACATTTAGTCAGAATCTCCTTTCTTGTAACTTGAATCTATTGGTCTGGGTGCTACCCTCTACAGCAGCAGAAAACAAGCGTGCTCCATTCTCCATATGACAGCTTTTTAGATATTTGAAAGTGGCTTTAATATCACCTCTCAGTCTTCTCTTCTCCAGGGTAAACATACCCAGTTATCTCAACTGTTGCTCATTAGGCTTGGTTTCCAGACCTTTGTTCATCTTGCTTGCCCTTCTTTGCACCCATTCCAGCTTGTCAATATCCTTTTATTACTGTGGTGCCCAGAACCTGACACAGTACTCCAGCCACTCCATAGGGTGTAGAACTCAGTAGAAAAGGGAACGCAGAAAAAAACAGAATTAGTTGGCTGAGCCTGTTATTGGCTGTAGCTCAGCCTACTCTTGAGTTCCCTGCAGGCAGCTTCACTAGTCCTAATGAACACCAATCACCACTAATAAGAACATAAGTTCTTATAAGTGAACAGAAAACTACACATGGAGAACTTGAAACTAAATAAAGCAATTCTAAAATAAACCTGAATGACAACTAATTAAAAGCTAGTTGTAGAACCAGTTGAAAATAATGTTTCAAAAAGCTATATAAAAAAGAAATTACTGCGTTAAATCTAAGTATGTGGTCTCGAAATTGGACCCTGCCATAGCTTCTGCTTTGACATTGTGCCATTTAGAATTATTTTCCTCCCTGGAGGAAACAAATGCCCCGTTTCTGAAATATGCATTTTTATCCCCACTAAAGCTTTGAAAGATGTTTGCCTTATAGCATCATTTGTTATGCAAAAAAAACCTAGAGATGTGGTTATAATCACAGAAATGCATGACACATACATACACTTGTCAAACTCTAGAGTAATCTAGCAGAATCCACACATGCAAATATGACAAAAGACTTCAGAAGGTGATACTGCTCCAGGGAATTGATATAAAAGCTTTATAAATTTGAAATTCAATGACATATGTAATAAAGATTATGGGACAGCTGGTCTTAAGTATTTGGCTCTGGAATCATTATGTACCAAGAATTGGTACATATTACTGCGGCTTCAATTTTTTATCTTGACAAATGTATGCATTTCATCTCCCATGCTCATGGCAATGCTCTTTTAAGATTCTGTATGAGAGAATATATCTCCCCATATACATGCCCACATTTCCTTCCCCCTTCACCCCAAAGTGAGGTATTGGAGATTGTTCCCCTTTTTATAATGCCATCACAATTATATTCTCTTACATAAATATAAGAAGAGCATTGCACTTAAGCATCTGCTCGGCAGTTGCTGGTGCAACAACAACTTTTTGGGATTGGCTCCCTTGCTGAGCCTTGTAAACTCAGCTCCCGCTTGGCAGCTCCCCAGTTGGTCCTGACTTCCTTGCTCAAATATGTGCTCCTCCTGCTCAGACCTGACTGAGACACAAACACAAACATGACTAATTGCCATCGATAAACTTCCCCATGAATTCATTCCACTGCCTTGTTCTTTCTCATATAATATACATAGAATAGATGAGGAATACAATATGGGAGACCGTTCCCCCAATTGGGAAACATTATGTGTCTAGGAATCTTGTGCAGCATAGTGGGAAATCACTACAAATTTGACACAGAACTGCACAAAGATATCTTTGTGGATGTAACTTCAAGTAAGGTAAAGGTAAAGTTAAGTCCAGTCAAAGGTGAGTATGGAGTTGCGGCACTCATCTCTCTTTCAGGCTGAGGGAGCCGGTGTTTGTCCACAGATGGCTTTCCGGGTCATGTGGCCAGCAGGACTAAACCGCTTCAGGCACAACGGAACACCATGAGGGAAACCAGAGCGCACGGAAACACAGTTTACCTTCCTGCCACAGTGGTACCTATTTATCTACTTGCACTGGTGTGCTTTCGAACTGCTAGGTTGGCAGGAGCTGGGACAGAGCAACGGGAACTCACCCCGTCGCGGGGATTCAAACCACTGACCTTCTGATCGGCAAGCCCAAGAGGCTCAGTGGTTTAGACCATACCACCACCCGTCTCTGTGGCGCAGTTGGTTAGTGCGTCTGGCAGTTAACCAGAAGGTTGATGGTTCAAGCCCACCCACGGACAGCTGCTAGAAATCTGCCTGCAATGAGGCGTCTGAGTGGGTAACTTCAAGTATACCAGTTAGGTCACCACATTATTGATGATCTTTAGGAAGCAGCAAATGCAAGCTGGGGAGCAGAACTTTCCCACATTTGTATGCTATGGAGCCACTTTATTCTCCAAGCAGTAGGCTGGGGTTGGAAACAAATATTTCACCTTTTTTGGGTCCTCATTACGCAGTGAGGCTTTCCTATTTCTGGAGCATATGCACTTGGATGCTTAGATGCCACAATTTGGTGAAGCTGAGCAATTAATCTGCCTTTTGAATGGTATGCTCCTGCCTTTGCTCCTTTCCTCTCCCTCCATTGTTTCCCTTGTTAGTACCTTTTATGCACATTGCTGGCATTATATGAACAAACAGTAAATGTCCCCAGGAAGCAGAAGGTGACTCCTTACTGAGGGGAAACAGAGGCAGTAGTGTGTGGAGGAAAGAGGATGTCATGGGAGGTGTGCTGACTTCCGGGTGCAAAGATTCATGGTGTGACGGAGAAGTTGCCAAGTCTTATAAAGCCTACTGACCACTACCTCTTCTTTCTCATTCATGTGGGTACAAATAATAGTGCCACACATAGCTTGCAACACATAGCAAGGGACTATGAGACACTGGGCAGGGAGCTGAAGAGACTTGGGACACAGGTATTCTTTTCATCACTGCTTCCTGTTGAATGTCATGGCCCAAGAAGAGAGAGTAAAATAACTGAGGTATTTTATATTTGTTGGGGCTGCCCCCCCAGTCAATGGGCAAAGTTGAAGCCCTTCATTGTGGGCACCCACAATCTTTGGCGCCAGGTGGCACCTGTGATATGGATGTCTTTGAAACATTTTACCCAACTTTAGGTGGCCCTGTCAGTTTTTAATCAAGGCAGAGTTAAATTTGTTTTGGGGGTTGGCTCAAGCCCACAAATCTCTTTTTTAAAACAACAACAACACACACACACACACACACACACACACACACACAACCTTTTAGGGCCAAACCCTCACAAGGCAACTAACAAAATAATAAATTTGTATAAAATATTTATACAAGGAATATCAAAACTATCAATACCTTGACATCAGATAGAAGCATAGTGAGCCAATAATAAAGTCAGTGATAGACTTGATGAAATTATAAAAGAAGAAAATGTTTTATGGATCCATTTGAGAGCCACAAGAGAAGAGAGCAAAGTTCTCAGTTCTCAGCAAAGAAAGTGTCAAGGATGTAGGGAGTTGCCACTGAAAAGTCTTTGCCCCCAGTATCTGCTAATCTGATTTTTCTTAGTGGTGGACCAGAAATAAGGATCAGGGAATGATCTCAGTGCATGGAAAGGTTTATATGTTTGTGTATGGGGAACCTCTTGCATGGGTAGAGAGCCTGTGGCCTTTCAGACAGGAGGCCTTTCAGAACTCCCATCATTACTGATCACTGAGCATGCTGACTGGGGCTGATCAGAACTTGGATCTCCAAATCAGCATTGAGATCCACAGGTTCCCTATCAATGCTTTAAAGGTTGATAAACAATTTCAGAGGGTTTTAAACATAAATCCAGTACATTTTTTTTTACATGTTTTCCTAGATTCTGGGGGGTGGAGATAGGGAATGGGTCTATGCCTTGGGGGTTCATTTGTATTGTTTCAAAACCTATTTTTACTTGTTCTAGTTGTATGGAAACAACTTGAGACTTATGGGAAATGCATCACGATCATCAACATCACCATTAAAATTTGGGTGTAATATTAGCACATCCTTATCCCCTACTAGCATTCTGGTGGCTGCATTTTGCAATATCTGAAGTTTCCAAGCAGTCTTTGAAGGCAGCCTCAGAAAGAGAGCATGACAGTAATCTAGCCTGGATGTGACCAGTTTGTGTATGCGTTGGTGTGTGTTGACCAATGACCATCTCTGCTATGGAGAACTCATGGTCTTGCTGAACTAGTCTGTAAGAAAACCATTTTTAGTAATGAGATTGTCAGCTGGGGAAACTGTTAAGAGATCAGTGCACTCTTTACCTGCTTTATGAAGCATGACAAGGGGAACCATCTGCTTCGTTTATTTTCCCCACTGAGAGTCTGTGAGGCAACTTTGGTACACTTTCAGAGTTTCACACAAGATTATCTCATTCACAATGAGGAACAGAAAGAAAGTGAAGAAAGGCTGGGGATGATGCTCATTCGTACTACTTATGCTAAGATTGCACAGAGATATTTGCGTTTTAAAAGCTGGTGATAATTTCTCAAGTCAGTGATTATTCCTGGCTTCCTTTCAACAGAGAAGTAGTAGATTACTTGACTCTTGACCAAGCAAGAAAAGAACCCACCATAAACACCAGTTAGGGTTAAGCATAGGAATTGCTATACAGTTTTATTATATAGTTCTGAGGCTGGAATAAATCGATATGTTGCAATAGGTTATCTCTCTCTTCTTTGTATGCTGCAACCCCTCTGCATGGCAATTAGCCTTTTAAAAAGCCTCCATTGACAATACTGGATGTTTTTAAAAAGACAAATTGCTGCATGGGTGTATGTGTGTGAACATGGGGAGGTGGTCACAGTATGTGAAGAGAGGGGAGTTGAACTTACGCTACCCACCTGTGCTCCCCCCCCCCCCCACAAATAAAAGTCCCTATGAAGGGCAATTAGGCTTTAGGAAAGCTTCCATTGGCACCAAGAAGGCTTTTAGAAAGTCCTACTGGCTGCACAGGTCTGGGGCTGGGAGGGGAGCACAAAAAGCCATGCACAGTTTGCAGGCCAGAGTTTCTCCATCCCTAACAGTAGGCTATCACATTCATACCATAGGAGGACTGGCATTAGTGAGTGCCTCATGAGGAGAAATAAAATAGCCTAATCTAGGGGAAGCCTTTTAGGGCCTTGGCAACTGCTTCCTACCTAAACTGATGGCAGAATTGGTGATGACTGGTGCCCATTGGGACAGAAAGGGCAAAGGGCATTCAGACTAGCAGTAGGTGGAGCCAGAGCCAATGACAAGCAGAGCCACACCTCTGTCTGGTTGTTGTGAGTAAGGCAGGCAGGAGAGGATAGTGGCATGTTCACCCTCATGGGCCACCTTCCACTTATAGAGGACATGTCTTCCAGCAACATGGTAGTTAAATGGAGCTGCCATGTCATGCCATCTACCAACTTGGGAACCAAAATCAGGATGATCCTTTTTTGTTCCCGAACTCTCACACATGCTTTTTTCAGGCGTTCAGTCCAGTGCTCTGGTGCCAACCTTGTCAGGTGCTAGATGATGTTGATTGAACCTTGGATTGGGTGCACATTCATGTGGTAATGCAGTAGCCCTCAGGTTTCTGTGCATGTAGAGAATGCATGTGTGCTGCTATTACTCCTAATGAATGAAGGGGCTGGCTGCCCTTGTATATTGGATTATGTATGGCTGCAGCAAATTTCAGCATTGGCGTGTACATGTAATTATTATTTAAATACTATTTTCTGTGTCTGCCTTTTTAGGGCTAGGGGCAAAATCCATTCTAGATGGCTCATATTATGAGTTGAAGTGGAAAAGGAGTGCTAATGGTAATTAAACCCCCATAGGAAAGCATTTTAATTTTGGTTCCTCACAATAAATAATATTAAATGTTTCATTAACACTAATTTCTTCCTAATTATAAAGCTGTGGAAAGTGTCACAGTGCATATATTTGAAGTCTGTTTCAAATAACAATGCAACTTTTTATAGAAAAGCATTTAAAATATTTAATGATGAAATTAAGTCCCATTAAAGTAGTGCTCTTTATTTTCCAGAATAACAATTTCAGAGGTTGTTATCCCTTTTATCTTAATTAGGTCATGTATTTTCCTAAACAAAATTGCCAAGGGGAAGAAAATCTTTGCACATAGTTTCACTTCTATATCACTATCAGTAAATATTATTAATGCACCCAACAGGCATTTGACGATGCTTCTCTAGCTCTTTGCCATATTACACATTTTAAAAGCCTATGTTTTCTGAAAGCATGGTACTTCAAACATAAAATCATTTCTATCTTAACACCATTAACAAATATGCATTTGTCAATCTCCATCCAAATAATATGTTAATCAAGCAGAACATTGAAAGATTCAGGACAAGCAAAAGAAAATGCTTATTTAAGCCACACATAGCTAAATTTTGGAGTGCACTCTGACAAGAAGTAGGGATGGCCACTAACCTGGATGGCTTAAAAAGTGGATTTGATAAATTAAGACTATCAATAGCTGCAAGTCATGATGGCTATCTTCTACCTTCACTCTTGGAGGCAGTATGCCTTCAAACAGCATTAGCTGGGAATCACAGGTAGAGAAAGTGATGTTGTGCTAAGGTCCTGCTTGTGGACTCCTTGTGGGCCTCTGGATGGCTGCTGTGAGAAGAGAGTGCTGGACGAGATGTGGCCAATCCATCAGGGCTCTTATAGTCAAAAGGCATACCAATACCACAGGTATAAACTGGTTTTATGGCCATTCCTACTCATCAGAGAATTCTGAGAACTGTAGTCTTTGAAGGAAAGGATGCTTCAGAATTTTAGCACACCTCACTGAAATACAGTTGGCCAGCCAGCCTCTCTTTTAAACACCTCCAGCAAAGGAGAGCCTGTCATCTGCAGAGGCACCATTGGGAAGTTTCTCTTGGAAGTTTAGTTCAGTAGAGGAATAAATTCAGAAGAGTTTCTGTGTCTGTACCTCAGATAAGTCTGTGTCCATAACAGTCTTGGCCTCTTTCGAGAATCCTGAAAATTGCTGAAATGTCTCTCCTGGTAGAACATCTCCTCTGGAAGCAGAAGGTTCCAGGTTCAATCCCCAGCATCTCCAGATAGGGCTGTAGGAGGCCCTGGTCAGAAGCCCCCAGAGAGCTACCACCAGTGTAGACAAGACTGAGCTAGGTGGGCCAATGGTTTGACTCAGTATTAGGCAGCTTTGCATGGTGGCTATTAAAAAAACCACACACACGGCAGGGATGTTCTCCATGGTTGCCTAGAATTACTTGGG